TTTTTTTCCAACCTTTGACTTTTAATAAATTCACATCTTTGTTTCTAAGGTGTGTCTCTTGTAGACAGCATATTGATGGATCCTGTTTTCTTATCCGTTCTGTCACTCTCCGTCTCTTTGTGGGTGCATTGAGTCCATTTTAGACTATTTTTAAAGCATACTTTTCAATTGATTCTTTATATGCCCAGAAGCCAGGATGATGTTTTCTTGTTTGCTCCCAATAATGCTAATTGTTACTGTCACATACACAGTAACTTGACTGTGGTTATCATTGACCCTAGCATTGTAGTTTTATAATTCAGGCCACATAAATGCATGTGCCCAAATATATCAGTCCCATAATTAAGACATCTTGAGTTATCATGATGGTTCATGGGTTGACTGATAATATACTCTAGAATTGCTAGAGAATTAAAAATTCTAATGTATAACATTAACTGTTCTTCCCGTGACTGCAACCATTCATCATTAAGCAATGCCTTCTGTATTTTGTGCCATTAGGAGACTTATGGATTAAGTAAGGAAAAGACAGAGAGATATATTTAAATTTTTTTTTAAAAAAGAAAAAGTATATAATAAAATAATGGAAAGAAAAAGGAGAAACCATAAGAATAATTGGAGGAGAGAAAAGAAACAGTACTATGGTAGAAAGAAGTAAAGTTTTGAGGGTTACCAACAAATCACCCAGCAAACTCACACTATACAGTGTTTGTTCCACATCATGTTTAGGGAACTTTGAGAGTATTTTATCATGGTTTACTGGGAAAAAAAACAAAAACAAAAAACCCACTGTCCTTGGAAACACTTAGCACAAAGCCTAGCACATAGTAAATACTTAATAATAGTTGTGAATCTAAACATACTCGTTCCAATTTTCTTAGAATAGATTGGACTTGGGGTCTGTATTTCAATTACCAGTCAACTAACAAGTTTCAAAGATAGTAGGAAAAAATCCTCCCATGATTATCTGGTGCCTCCATTTTCTTCTACCATTCTGTGGACATTTGTAACCAGGCTACTTCTCTCTATATTTCATTTTGCTTCTTGTATTTTCCTAAGCCTTGACAAAGTGTTACATATAGTTTTGTCCTACTTCCATTATAGTCATATTCCCTGTGTTTCATTGTATGTCTATGAAATTTTTCAAAGAAGCCTCCTATGTTTACACTGGCCTCTAGTGTTATAGGGGAAAAACATCACAAAGTCTAGTAAAGCAAAAAGTAAGTTTTATTTGGCATATATTCAAAAGGGCAAAACTGGGAAAATGGACAAGCATGCTGCCACAGCCATGTCTGCCCAGGTCCAAAGAATATTACAGAATAGGCAAGAATGGGAAAACGGACAAGCATGCTGCTACAGCCCTGTCTGCCCAAGTCCAAAGAACAGTTATAGAGCCATCAGTATATAAACATTACAAATGGGCAAAATCATTGAAAGCTTAGCCTTTTCAGATTGGCTAGAAACTGTGATCCTGCGTTTTGAATTGTCTTTCTTAACAATCGTTGGTACAGAATACAGTAATGACAGTCAGGAGGGTCTTCATTGGTCCAACAAATTTCTATTCACTAAATGCTAACAGAAAAAGAGTAGAAAGTCTTTTGTGTCCTGTTTGATTGGCTTTATGTGAAAGTTTCCCTAAAAGATATTCTCCAAGATTATTTTAGCTATTGTCTTTATACCTCAGGGCCCAGTTGATGTGTCCTTGTGAATCCTCGTGGGCCCAGTTCCAGCTGGGTCACATTCTCTATTCTCAAGGACAGGCAATAATAACTCCAATATTATTTCCTAAATCACTAGTCAGTGACCTGTGCTTAAAACTGCAAATACAAATTTTAGATACAGGGAGGGAAGAGTTTTCATCCTTTGGCATTATATCATCATGATGTATGTTCTGTATTTGGCTTAAACTGTGAACACTCATAGTATTGGGGGAAAAACAAAATAACTGTGGCTTCTCCTTGCAAGCTAAAAGCTGAATTTAGATGTAGTCATCATTTTCAGTTATGTAGATACTGCTTTTGCAGATAGATAACTGAGTCCTCAGAGACTTGCTACATTTGGTGCATTTCCATCTATTGCTCTGAATGGAATAACAACTGGGGCCAAAATGAATGTCTTTCTTCCTTTTGAAATGCAAAGTCTTTCAGCCCTCAGGATGTACTGCTAAGAAGTATGCTGTATATTCTCCTTTCCCAAAGGAATTTAAGGTTTAAGTAAATACTCATTTGACTGGAGTGAACTAATCCAATTCCAAAATTTTCTTCTAAACATAATACTTTGAGGAGTCCTCTTCAGGAACTCTGATTTTATCCCTTTTTATCTTTCACCCAGCTTTGGTTTTGTTAATGATATAAGAATCTAAAGCAAACTCTAGACTGTCTTAGTTAACCTTTGATGATGTTGGACCTGAGGTCACATTAACCAAGCCCTGTACATCGACTCGATGGCAACAGGTTTGGTTTTTGGTTTTGGTACTACAATAATAAACAAAAACCAACCAACCAACCTGTTGCCGTCAAGTCAATTCCAACTCAGAGCTACCCTATAGGACAGAAGAGAACTGCCCCATAGAGTTTCCGAGGAGCGGCTGGTGGATTTGAACTGCCAACCTTTTGGTTAGCAACCAAACGCTTAACCATTGTACCACCAGGGCTCCACTACAATAATAGTTATCATTTATTGAGTACCTGCTAAATACCAGACACTGTGCTAGGCACTTACCTACATTATCTTCTATTCTCACAATTCGTTACACAAGGTAGTATTATCCTTGATTTATGTTCAGGAGAACTGAGACTTGGAAAGTTTAAATCATATGGCTTACTAAGTGGCAGAGCTGGGATACAATAGCAGGTCTGTCTAAATCCAGTATGCATTGCTCTTTCCAGTCTCCACACTGCCTCTCCATAGTGTAAATTCCTCTTCACAAACGCATCATAAGACTTATCCAGCATAGTTCTATGAAGAATCCTGAGACCTATTTGATATCTGAATGTTACTAGTGAGAGTCTCAAAACAGCAAACTTCCAGAAGGACATTAGAATCTGATTAGGCATTAATTTAGCTTTTTAATAAAGTATTTTAGTTGACTAGAGGAAGTTTAAGTCTTTACCTAGAAAAAACAATAAATCTTGATAGGAAAGGACTCAATACAAAATAGAACAAAGCTGTATTTCTATATTCCAAACCAAAAACCTAACTTGTTGCCATCAAGTAGATTCCGATTCATAGTGACCCTATAGGACAGACCAGAATGGCCCCATAGGGTGTCCAAGGAGCAGCTGGTGGATTCAAACTGCTGACCTTTTGGTTAGTAGCCTGAGCTCTTAACCACTGCCATTAGGGCTCCATATTTATACATAACATAACCAGATTAGGGAGACTCAAATGTTTTACCTACTCAAAATTTTATGATGCATCTACTAGTACAACTAGATAATCTATTTAGCAGTCCTTATGCTAATAATATAAATGATACTTTAAGATAACTGATATAATGTTTAGAAATTCAGCATGTCGCTAAAAATATTCACTTAGTGGTTGTTCTTTTATAGACTTGTGTTTAAAGCTTCCAATTATTCTCATTGAGTTTGACAGTGACAGTAAAATGCATAAAAAGAATATAGTTTTGTAGAGGCAGGGGGAAAAAAATAAGTGATTTGGGTTCTTTTAATATCCTTTTATTTACTTCTCTCTCCGTGGCTTCCCTCCTCCGTTTCTCTGAAAGGAATCGACAGTTTCACAGTTCCAAAGAAACAGACCCCGTTCCTTGCTTCTGAGGCAGCTGTGATTGGAGAAGGGGAGGATTATTTCCATTCCTTGTTTGGCGACTCAGAGAAACTTAATACATGCTCAAGCCACCTGGAGAAAACCTGGAAGCACTTCTCTATGATTCTGGATGAAGTTGGTCACTTTAGATCCAGGTACACATTCTATTTGAACTATTTAATATCTTCTACTGGGGGGAGGAACAATAAATCAGTAGGAAATAAAGTTCTCATTTGTTGGTAGATCCATAATTTGATCTAAAACCCTCAGCAATTCACTGAAACATAACTGTTTCATGTTCTGAGAAATTAAGAACAATTTATCTCCCTCTCCCTATCTTTTTTCCCTTCTCCGTATACACCTGACACACAAATATACACTTTTTTTTTTTACACACAGATTAAAACTTTGAAAGCAAATCCTTAAAAAATATTTAAAAGAAAATATTACATAAAGGTAGAGAAAATTTCCTTATTTGGACACAAAAAGCACAAACTGTAAAGAAAAGATTAATAAATTTCACCACAGTAGAAGTTTAAACTTCTAACATTATAGACAAAGTTAAAAGACAACCTCTTCCAGAAAATATGTGTATATATTAAAATATTATATTATAAATATATCAATCAATTCCAAAACCAAAAAAACTCATTGATGTCGAGTCGATTCTGACTAATAGTGACTCTATAGGAAAGAGTAGAACTGCCCCACAGGGTTTCCAAGGAGCAGCTGGTGGATTTGAACTGCCAACCTTTTGGTTAGCAGGTGAGCTCTTAACCACTACACCACCAGGGCTCCATAAGGAAACTGAGGCTTAGATTAATTCCCATGTCCTAGGTCATTCAGTGAATGCTAGTGTTTGTCTGTCTGCCTCACTCAACTAGTAGAATCTCAAAATGATTTAATCCAATTATTCAACTTGTTTAAATCCTATAGACACCCTGTTGCTGAGTGCTGCTAGAAAACACACACACGTATAGACTGCTATCACCAAGAAAATTAGTGGTCTCCAACCACACTGGGGCCCAAAAATTCTTCTTCATGAGCCTAGCCAGCACCTTCTACCATTCCCTCAGTGATGCTTCTCAAATCCCTGTCCCATATCTCCAGCCTCACTCTCAGCCAATGATCTCGCTAAGAAAATAGGGCCATCAGGGAGATGGCCACAAACAGGTTCACTCATACCCACACTTATCTCTTCCCTGTTTCAGTCACCCCATTTCAATGGAAGAGGGGACCCTTCTCCCATATACAGTGAAACCCTGCTGCTCCAGGCTCTCAGTCCATTCATTATCCTCCTTTTCGCCTGTAACACCAACCTCTTCTTCTAAACTGTTTTTTCCCCTCAAACATGTACATATCCTCAAAAAGCTTCCACCTTAAAAACAGAAAAAAACAATCCTCCTCCAGCTTACAATTCACACTGCCATCACAGCTAAGCTTCTGGAAAGATTGTCACTAATTCCTCACCTTTTATTCACTTCTCAACCCACTATCATCTCCTTCTGCTGTAGGCCAAGATGACCAGTGCCCTCCCAGTTGGCAAACTGAGTGGTAACTTCTTCAGTCTCTGTAGTATTTGTCTCTGTCAGATATGCCTTTTTTTAAAACTCCTCCTCTAGTTGCCTGAAGCCCACTGTTTCCTCCTACCAGGCTGGTTGCTTATTTTAAGCCTCATTTTCCTGTCTCTCTCCCTTTCCCCTCTCTCTGATGTTGATCCCTGGGAGTCTGTCTTTAGCCTTCTTTTGCTCTCATCACAGCCTGTTTATGTGATATCACCCAGGAACTGGTTTTCAATAACCATTTACTACGCTGATGACTGCTACATCCAAATCTCTCGCCTGGACTTTCCTGCTGAGCTTCGGACCCATAGTAACAACTATCCGCAAGGCCCCAAAACCTGTTGCCGTCGAGCCAATTCTGACTCACAGCGACCCTGTAGGGCTTCCAAGGCTATAACTCTTTATGGAAGCAAACTGCCATATCTTTCTCCTGTGAAGCACCTGATGGGTTTGAACCCACAACCTTTTGGTTAGCAGCCAACGGCTTTAACCACTGCGCCACCAGGGCTCTTTTACGAGGGTCCAAACCAAAAACCAAACCAAACTCATTGCTGTTGAGTTGATTCTGACTCATAGTGACTCTATAGGACAGAGTAGAGCTACCCCATAGAGTTTTTAAGGCTGTAAATTTTACATAAGCAGACTGCTACATCTTTCTCCCATGCAGTGGCTGGTGGGTTCGAACCATCAACCTTTTGGTTAGCAGCCGACTGCTTTAACCACTGCGCCACCAAGGTTCCTTACAAGGCCCCAAAGGTACCTCTAAATCAACATGACCCCCAGTGAACTCATTATTTTGGCCTGTTGTAAATTTAGTCTTCAAACTGTGAAATCTGTTTCAGTGAACTGCATCATCATTTATCCCTCTGGCCAAGACTGAAACTTCCATGTCTTTCTTTCTCCCTTTTGTTTCACACCTTATCAGTGTCTATATTCCATTGATTCAAACTCTTTAGTGTCTTCTACATGTGTCTCCGCCTCACCTGTATTGCAGCTGTCTTCATTAGGGTCTCATCATCTCTGTGGGAAGCTGTAACAGCCTCCTAACTGGTTTCTCAGTCTCCAGCCTTGTCCCCTCCTAATTATTCTCCAATATACTTCCAAAGCAGTCTTTGAATAATTCACACCTGGCATCTCTTCTTCCTTGCTGGAAGTCCTTCAGTGTCTTACTATTTCCTTCCAGATAAAACATAAATTCCACAGCATGGAAACAAAGCCCCATATAATCTGTCAGCCTCTTTTCTCTCCTCCTTTCCATGTCATGCTTAAACTACAACCGTAAAGAATTTCTTGTAAGACCTGTAATAATTAATGCTTGCTATTGCATGATTCAGAGCTCCTTGGAAACCCTATAGGGCAGTTCTACTCTGTCCTATAGGGTTGCTATGATTCAGAATTAACCTGACAGCAACGAGTTTGGCTTTTGGTTCATTGCATGATTCACCCACTGCCTACATATGTGATATTCCCTCTTCTTGCTCCTCATATCCTTACCAACACTTGAAATTTTCAGACTTAATTTTTTCAGTATGGTGGGTATAAAACGGTACCTTGTTATTTTGATTGCTTTTCCCGAATTGTAGGTTGAATAAGACTGGCCACTCAGTTTTTGTCTTCTGTGAATTGCCCTCTGTGAATTTTGTCTACTGTTTTATAGGGTTGTTTTGCGTTTTCCTAACTGATTGATTAAAATGAGAATAAAAACAGTTCCTTCCTTTCTGAGTTCTTAAGGGAATTATAAATGAGATAATACAGTATTCCTCAAACTTTTTTGACTGTGACCTTTGCTAAGAAATATGTAGGGTTATTTTTTTTAAGTAAATGAGTTATTACGAATCCATAATCCCTGTCATGAAATTTTGGGGGACTTATGTCTTTCCAAGGAGCCCTGGTGGCACAATAGTTAAAGCACTTGGCTGCTAACTGAAAGGTCAGCAATATGAACCCACCAGCAAGCTCCACGGGAGAACAGACCTAATGATCTGCCTCCTAGGAAACCCTACGGGGCAGTTGTATTCTGTCATATAGGGTTGCTGTGAGTCGGAATCAACTGAATGGCATACAACAATACATGTATTTCCAAATTCAGAATTTGAGGGATTTCAGGAAAGTATTATTGCCTAGAACACATATTATATAACATCCCTCATAATCAGGGCTTGGAGTAGCATCAGAGATCAAACATTAATTTTTCTCCAGCAAAACTTACAAATACTCATATTAACCAAGAATGAAGATTATAAATAGCCTCATCTCAGTTTCAGGCCAGGTTTCACCACCAAAGAACTTCAAAGACCTTCAAAGAAGGTCAGATTGTGCTTCAAATGATTTTTTTTTTAAATTGGTTTTATAGTTTTTTGGATTTTAGAATTGTGCATAAGAAATTGTGAATCTATGTAACTCACTTTAAAAAGTGGCTGGCATGTAATAAGTATTAGTTCTTATTATTGGTAGTAGTATATTTATTTTTTAAAATGTTGTCCTTAAACCACAGAAGTGATTTCATGATCTCCTAATGGGTTGTGACCCACAGTATGAAAAACACTGTGAGCCCCTGGTACGTATTAAACTCTCAATACATACTAGAGGAGAAAATACCACCTTATGTTTGTATGATACTTAATTTTTAAAGCTGCTTTCAAGCATATAGTTGCTATTCATCTTCACAGTAACTTTATCAGAAAGAAGCTGAGTTCTAAACGATCTAACCTCCCTCTTCAGCTACTTGTGAGAGTTTCATGTCTCGATGGTTTTATAATGAACAGTAAGACATTTAAATAACTATAATCATAGCTTCCTATAGCATTTATACCTTGACACCTAAAGCACTTTTTATATTCTCTTTAATGATGTTATTTCAGAATTTTATTGCACAGAAGGAAAAAATAATAAGAGAGCAAGCCATTTCTCTTAGGTTATGAAATACACTATTTCTACAAAGAACTTGTTCAAGAGAATATACAGCTTTAGGAACAACTTCCAAAGCATATTTATTATATGGTTCTTACAGTGAGTTAATCACTAAAGACACACTTATCTGAAGGCACCTTATAATCTTTGTGTTTTATTTTCTAGTGCTCTTGGACATATTAAAATAGTCGATGTGAATGCCAACGGTTTATTTGTGAGGCTCATTAACTCTTCCCGTGACAAAGAAATGGAGATTGGCGATCATATTCTCCAGCAGAACTTGAATGGCCAGAGAGTTTCTTCGTACCGATTCCTTCCAAAAATTATAATGCAGGCCAATTCCACAGTAACAGTGAGTCTAAGATATTAACACTGTGAACTAGAATTGCACAGGGAAAACCTCGTTTACATTGTCAGCGGCTCCGCACCAGGGCTCTGTTCGTCGCTAGATCTGTACTAAAAATGTGATTTAAAAAAAAAATTTTTTATTGTACTTTAGATGAATGTTTACAGAACAAATAGTTTCTCATTAAACAGTTAGTACACACATTGTTTTATGACATTGGTTAAAAGTGATTTTTTTTTTGTTGTGGTTGGTGAATTGTGCCATTTTGTCCATTTTTGAACTATAACTTGCCACAGCTTTCTTCAGTTTGGTCTACAATACTTTTTGCTTTTACAACTTACTTATTAAAATGAAATATCGTAAGCAAACATAATCCTTATAAGAAAAGCGAAGAGATTATTTGCTTAGAGGACAGGTACTTCCTTGATGCTGGCGGCTCTCCCTCGTCTTGCTTGTGCTTTCCTTTAGACAACATACAGTAGCTGTTCAATGTTGCACAGTTTGACATTATATAATCTTATCACATTTTAAAACCTCATCTGCTCAAAATATTGTGTTGGAGTAACCCTAAGACATTTACAAAACTATTTTGAACTCCAACAGCACTGGCATTAACAGACTATTTTTTTACAGGTGTGGGCAGCAGCATCTGAAGCAAAGCATCAGCCTCCCTCAGATTTTCTTTGGAAGGAGCAAAACAAGTTTGGAACGAGTCCGAATTGTACAACAATTCTGTGCAAACCTAATGGTGAAGTCAGTGTCCAGTTTTTAATAATTGTTTTTAATATAAGAGTAGCTCTGTTAATATTTCCTCTTGTATTTCCTCACTCAATTATTTTCCATCCTCAAAAGCTTGGATAAAACCAAAACTAAATACCGTAACATAGCAGACATGCTGGCAGCACCCTCTCTCCAGTGTCAAACATGCCAAAGAGTTACACGCAATTTGGCAAAAATAATGTTGATGTCCTGTATTTCTATGAAACTATTTCAAATTTCAGAGTCAAGGATGTATTTTATTTGTGATGGATAGACGGAAGAGCAACCTAAGAAAGGAAGGCCTTTTCTATTTATTTCTTAACAATTTCTTGTTATTACTCTCTATTCTAGGGGCTATACTAACAGCTGGAAATATAACAGAGATTAAGACATGGTATCTCTTCAAAAAAGGACTGATATTCCAATGAAAGAGTCTGCAGTCTAAATTGTAATGATCTTATTTTATTCACTACCACACTAGTGTATTAGTAATAACTTTTTGAAATTCAGTCCCAACATCTGACAATTTGTATTTGCACTCTACCTTTTCCGTGGTGTAGTATAAGTGTAAATATATACCTAAAAGCACATCAGTAAGGTTTAAAGTTATCTCTTTTTACAACAATGAAAGTTATTCCTTTTTCAAAACCATTCTTAAATTTTTCTTAAGTATCTGCCTTTTTATCTTAACATCAATCTAACTTACTGTCATATAACTGCTAATCCCACAATTTGTTGTTCAGAATTTTTCTCTCTCTGAATTTCTTTCTTTCTTGCTAACTTATAACTGATGCCTAGATAGGCTGTGCCTTCAGAGTAGACTTGACTCATATATTAATTAAGAGCCATTTCCTGTCTTATGGCTTTCTGTGAGAACAAGTAGTTATCATTAGATGCTAGAACATTCATTAGATGTAATCTAGCTGCCTTCACTCACTTACCTTTAGGTCTCTTTGTGGACTCCAACTGAATTTTACGATACTTCTGATAATTTTCACTAATGAGGGAAATGAGGTTATGTAATTCTTAGTTATTTCCTTAGCCTAATTAGCAAGACCAAAGCATTGATGCATTTGAAATTATGGTGTTGGTGAAGAATGTTGAATATACCATGAACTGCCAGAAGAAGGAACAAATCTGTCTTGGAAGACGTACAGCCAGAATGCTCCTTAGAAGTGAGGATGGAGAGACTTTGTCTCATGTACTTTGGACATGTTATCAGGAGGACCAGTCCCTGGAGAAGGAAATTATGCTTGGTAAAGTAAACAGTGAAAAAGAGGAAGACCCTAAGTGAGATGCATTGCCACAGTGGGTGCAACAATGGGCTCAAATATAGCAATGATTGTGAGGATGGTGAAGGACTAAGCAGTGTTTCATTCTGTTGTACACAGGGTCACTATGAGTTGGAACTGACTCAGTGGTACCTAACAACAACGGCAACACTTATCAAAACCCAGAAACCATTAGAAATCATTAGCAAAACCCAGATTAGGATTAAGGCATTCGAGTCTCAGAACTGTCATCACATTTATCCATCCATTCGTCCATTCTGCAAACCCGTTTGGGGTGTCTCCTTTGTACATGCACTGTTGTAGGCACTGAGTGTTGAACCAGATTCAGGTCCCTGAGCTCCTGGGACTTACATTTTAGTAAACGGTCATTCCCTGCAACTGAGTTAGACTTTGTGCTTAGACTGCTCCTTTTACCCAGTGGTTTCAACAGCTTTGCATATGTAGGATCAGTTCATTTCTGCAGGGTTATATAAGCACAAATAATTTTCTTTGTTAGTGTAAGAATAAACCTAATCTATTGACTCACATGGAAAATACATATATTTCATATCTGCCAAGCATTGTGCTAGGTCTTGGGAAAATGAACTTGACTGTTATATGACTCCTGTCCTCAGGGAGCTCAGACTCGAGTAGTTAAAACTGATAAGTAACAATAAATAATTATCACAATACAGTAAAATAATACTTTAATAGAAGAATGTGCATAAAGCATGCTAGCCCAGGTCAGAGAGATCAACACTGTAAAGGACAGTGTCAGGAAAAGCATTAGAGAAGAGACTTCTGCTGAGTCTGCAGGTTGAGAGGGAGTCACCGACTGACCTGAACCGCAGTGGCCTTGCCTCTTTCCATCACTCTAGCTCACCTCTCCCCATACTTTTCCTTGCTCTCTGCTCTCACCTTCTTTTATTTCCCAGCACTTAGCCTGCTCCTTCAAGCCACAGGGCCGTTGCACATGCTCTTACCTCCTCAGAGACTCTCTTTCCTACCATTTCAACCTATTAAAATCCTACTCACCCTTCAGACCTCAGCTCAAGGCTTTTCTTTCAAGTCACATCCTATTAGAATACCCTACCCTAGGGTAAAACCTAATAATTTTGAGGATGGTGCAGGACTGGGCAGTGTTTCATTCTGTTGTAGGTAGGGTTGCTATGAGTTAGAACTGATTTGACGGCACCTAACAACAACAACATGGTAAACCAATCAGCATTATTAAATTTAATTCAAACACTTCCCATTAAATAGGCTGAAATGTGACTTCAAGTCAACTTAAAACACTAATGTAAGGCCAGAGTTCTTTTTTTTTTTTTTTTTTTACAAGTTTATGCCTATTCTCACTTCAGTGACACTGGATCTCACTCTCTGCAATTGCCAGCTAGATTTTCCTTGAAAAGACAGCTTGCTGCATTCCGATAGACATGCTGAAACACAGACAAAGCCAAGGCTTCATAATGACCCTAGAACTGCTTTCTATTTATATAATTTATACGCAGGAAATAATCCGTACCTTGTAGAAAAAGTCACAGAGCCTGCAATCTTCTGTCTAAATCAATAGCTAATCCTACAGATTAGAATAGGTCATGTTTCTGGAGCTGAATAATACTTCTGTTTTTTTAAGATGGGGCAAAAAGAAGTTATACTAAGAGTCACTAAAATAAAATGAAGTGTGACAGACTACTTTTTGAGCCATCTTATCACTGTTATGCAATGGTTAATAGTTAATACATCTATAAGTCTTAGTGGTGTAATATAAAGATGGATTTTAGTACTGCCTGCCACAAGTTAACTTGCTGTTGTTGTTAGATGCCCTTGAGTCGGTTCCGACTCATAGAGACCTCATGTACAACAGAATGAAACACTGCCCGGTCCTGCACCATCCTCACAATCATTGCTATGTTTGAGCCCATTGTTGCAGCCACTGTGTCAGTTCATCTCGTCGAGGGTCTTTCTCTTTTTTGCTGATCCTCTACTTTACCAAGCATGATGTCCTTCTCCAGGGACTGGTCCCACGTAATAGCATGTCCAAAATATGTGAGACGAAATCTCGGCATCCTCACTTCTAAGGAGCATTCTGGCTGTACTTCTTTCAAGACAGACTTGTTCATTCTTTCGGCAGTCCACGGTATATTCAATATTCTTCGCCAGCACTGTAGTTCAATTATATAATTCAATCACTAAGACCCTATGAGTCAATGGATTTTTTAAAATAAGGCTGGATTTTTTTTACCAGTTACATTTTGTTGTCCTATAGGATTTGTAGCTTCTATATGACATGTCAAAAATTAATAGACATATTTTTTTCAGTCCCTGATATGTTCCCAACACAATGTTTTCCATTTAGAGATCCTGATCTGACAAAGACCGCTCACTCCTGTGCTGTAGGAGCTCACTGAAGGGCTGTTTATATATGCAGTATCTCATTTGATTCTCAGTAATGTTTAAGTATTTTACGAAGGGGGAAAATGGGGCTTGGAGAAGTTCAGTGACTTGCTCAAGCTCAAATGATTAGTAAAATGGCAAAACTAAAATAAGACCAGATCATCTAACTCCAAGAGTTTTTGTATTGTACTAAAAAAAAAAAAGCTGTAAGGCTCATATGGCCAACATTCTAGAAGTGAAATTAAACGCATTTTACTTTACCACATTGTTCATCATCATCACCATTGTCACTGTCATCAAATATTTTTAAGTCCCTATAATACAGGGAGAAGTAAGATACTACTCTTGTCTAGGAAAGGTTTATAATCCAGTTGAGGAAGACTACGCCAAAAAGATAATAAACATATTTTCAACACAGATGGCTATGTTTGAGCTGCTGAAAGAGGAGGCTCTCTAACTGATGATCTGCAACAAAAGTGGGATTTTCCTGATGTGATCCATGACATTGAACTTCTTAAAAGGATTTCATCTTTTTCTTTCTCTGCTCTAGGCCTATCCTAGCTGAACTTGCCTTGTGTTGTTTTTAGGTCTGTTTAATTTGTCAAGTTGAGCAGAGGGTTTTCCAACGGTTATAGCATAAACCCTCAACCTCTAATTTTATGAACTAAAAACAGATCACCAGAAAATGTTAGGGCACCCTTCGGTGCTTAATTTCTTCATTAATTGACTAAAGATATGATTGTTAGTCCCTGTGCAGAATTTTTCTGGATTATTTTTGTGCGTATATGTTGTACATATGGCACATACTCAGGAAACCAAAACATGCGCCAGCTCTAGTGGTCAAGCTTACAGGTCTCCCACCTAGGAGTCTAGCCAGGAGATCGTGCTTTCTTCTCTGCCTCTACTTCTACTGTCCATCGCACCATGCCAAATAAGGCACCAGTATATAGTGGGTCTTAAATATTTAAAATTGAACTTCTTAATAATAATTACAACTCCTTTGCTCACAGTTCTTTATAGTTAATGAAATCCAGTAGTTTCACTGAATATCACAGCACCCTCAAGACTCAGTTTTCCACCAGCACCCACACAATCCTACATATGAGGACACAGTCCAAGACAGTAAGTGACTAACCTACCTAGAGTCACACAGATTATAACTTCCAGAACTGGAAATGAAGGCCAAGATTTCTTACCATATCCTTATCCACATACAGTAGGCTAGGGACATTATACAGCTTGATGATGAAATTATAGTGCAATAAATCTATGACATTTAAAAAAAATCTATCTAATGCCAACAGTAGTTGATATTTATGAACCATTTTTGCTAGGCTATTGCCTGGTACACTCCTATTCACTGGAAGCAAGCATGGGCAAAATTAGAGACCGACATTGAATTTGATAGATGCTCAGTGGTAACTGCAACACCTCAAAAGAACATGTTCCAGTGGCCAACATCTGCAACAACTAAAGAAAAACAAGATCAACAAGATATCTCACCATGTCAGATGGAATACATTCAACTTGTCATTAAAAGGTAAAAAGTTATTTGTTTTATTTTAATTGAATCCTTCCCACAATTAGTAATTGAGCTATCAATTGAAAATGGTCAAGTGGCAAGTAGGTATTGATGAATAGAGAAAATACAACAATTTTAAATAGGGCCCATACGAAAAGCATAAAAACAGAGTGAGCAGGAGAATAAAGGCTGCCAATTTTAGTTAGGTAATACTCTGAGAGCCCTGTTGCCGTCTCATTTCTCATTGGCACTGCTGTTAGAGGCAAGGCTGTGAAGAGGAGACGTTATTACCGTGTATTTAGCAGCACTTAGGTAGAGGGAGAGGTGCATCGTCTAGGAATTTCATGTTCTACTCATCTTGGATTAATAGCTGCTGTGGATGGAGGTACTGAATTTATATGATTTATTTGTAAGCAGATGCTTGTGGTGTTATGATAAAAGTTCTGTCCCTCAAGGTCTGGGAAAGCCATTTTCTCTGGTCTCAAAATGGTCTCACTTTAATTGCACCTTCATCCCTAATGCAATTGCATAAAATGTTTTTTGGGTTTAACTTGGGCTTTTTTATTTTTTCTTTCACAGAAAAAAAGAAATCCCACCAACCCTTTTCCCCACTCGCAGCCCTTGGTGTCACAATCCTAATGTCCCTGGACATCCCTACTCTCCTCTGACTAAACTGCATAATATATGCAGTACTGGAAGATACTCAGAAAGAGAGCCCAGTCCTCAGTCAGCCAGGCCTGATCCAGCTCCAGGTAAGTCAAAAGGGGTACATATCCAGGGATGGATTACCCAATAAGCAAGATACACACGGGCTTACTTACTAATCTACAGTGCACAATTTCACCTGTTTTTCACATCAAAGATGTGATGAAACCCATGTGTAACTGTGCACTGCAGATTAGTAAGTAAACACAAGTAAGCCCGTGCATACCTTACTTAATATAAGCCAGTGTATACCTTGCTTATTGGGTAATCTGCTCCTATTTATTCCAGTGGAGAGCAAGGTGTATGCGCATGCGCGCGCACGTATGTGTGTGTGTGTGTGTGTGTGTGTGTGTGTGTGTGTTAACTGGGTGCAAAGGGATTAAATTGTAAAATTTGCTAAGCATTAAAATCCCTCCATATCCTCAAGAATAGATAGCTCCTAAAGCAAGTACCCCCATGCATCTGTCAGTTTGTCATACTGTGGGGGCTTGTGTGTTGCTGTGATGCTGGAAGCTATGCCTCTGGTACTCAAATACCAGGAGGGTCACCAGTGGTGGACAGGTTTCAGCTGAGCTTTCAGACTAAGACAGACTGGGAAGAAGGAACTGGCAGTCTGCTTTTGAAAAGAATTAGCCAGTGAAAACCTTATGAATAGCAGAGGAACACTGTCTGACATAGTGCTGGAAGATGAGCCCCTCAGGTTGGAAGGCACTCAAAATACAACTGGGGAAGAGCTGCCTCCTCAAAGTACAGTCAACCTTAATGATGTGGATGCAGTCAAGCTTTCGGGACCTTCATTTGCTGATGTGGCATGATGACTCAAAATGAGAAGAAACAGCTGCAAACATCCATTAATACTCAGAACGTTGAATATACGAAGTATGAATCTAGGGAAATTGGAAATCATAAAAAATGAAATGGAATGCATGAACATCAATATCCTAGGCATTAGGCGACCCTATAGGACAGGGTAGAACTACCCCAGAGGGTTTCCCGGGCTGTAATGTTTACGGAAGCAGACTGCCACATCTTTCTCCAGTGGAGCGACTGATGGGTTCGAGCAGCCGACCTTTGTTAGCAGCCGAGCGCTTAACCACTGCGCCACCAGTGACCCCTAGAGACTAACAAATAATTTTAAAGAAACATCTATATATCATATGCCTAATCATGCCAAGCATATGTTATTTTTTTAAAACATGTTAAAATATATACACACATAGGTATCTGAAGACAGGCAGTAAGAAAACAGAACAGTTATCTCACAATGTGACATAAGAGGTACAGGAGCAAATTTCTGGTGACCATGTCTGTGTCACTCCTTCCAGGGGGACCCACAGAGCTGGGTGTTGGGGTCCCAGTTGTACAATAACTCACATTGCTCCTCTGGTTTAGAACATCATCTCCCATCCTAATCTATAAAAATCCAAGTCCCTCAATTCCATAGAGGTTTTATTTACATTTAACCAGTTTTAAGATCATTCCAATATATCATAAACATTCCACAAATAAATAAATAAATAGACACACACAAAAAATCACAGAAAAGAGGATAATGTAGAAAGTATACATGTACTAATCATTCAGAATTAATATGTGCTACATTTTTTCCTATTACTTCACATTAAAAAATATAACAGATAAATTGGAAGTCCCGGACCTTTGAACTTCTTTCTAGTTCTAATATGAAATTGGAATAAGTCATCCTTGTCTTTGTTTTTATACTTTAATTACATATAGAATCATACTATATATAGTATAATTGGTGTGGTTTTAATTTATATAAATGGCATCATGCTAAATGTGCCTGCCTTTTTTTACTTAATAATATCATTTTGAGGATATAAGTACACTGATACATGCAGATTTAATTCAGACACTTTAGTATAAAGTAAAATAAAATAGTATTTTATTATATATTATTAAATTATTATATTCACTGTCTGTAGTAAATGACAATTTACCTGTCTTTTCCCTTATTAATGTTTTGCTGTACAGACAATGCTCCAATGAAATATCCTCGTACATGAGGATCATGTACAAAAGTTTCTTTGGGGTTTATACCTAAACTCTGAAAAATCTTATAAAAATGTAGATAAACATAAATGAATATTGACTATATAAAACAATACTAATATCATTTTTTAGAATTTGAAATTTATATAGAATTTAAATAAATGACAACAATAGCACAAAAATTGGGAGGGGAGTTAATGTCATTAAAGTACTCTAAATTTTCTGTTTTATCCAATAAGTTGTAAAAGTAGCAATTTATATTACACTTTAATAAATCAGTGATGCATGCTGTAGCCTAGGATAGGCACTAGGAGAACAGTAAAAGAATGTATATCTGAAAAGTTAATAGAAGGAAAATCAAAAATAAAATTTATTGATCAAAAAGGCTTATGAAATAAAGCAATATGAAACAAGTGAAATAAATAGGGCACAAAAGTAATAAGGCAATTTACACCCAAATTATCTGTAATTACATCAGGTATCCAAAAAAACCCATGGCAATGGAGTTGATTCCAACTCATAGCAACCCCACAGGGTTTCTAAGGCTGTAAAACACAAGATATTGCCACATCTTTCTTCTGCAGAGCCACTGGTGGTTTTGAACCACTGACCTTTCGGTTAGCAGTCAAGCGCTTTAATCACTGTGCCACCAGGGCTCCTTACATCAAGTATAAATGATCTCAATACGCTAATTAAATATTATCAGTCCAAATTAAAAATAAAATCTCCAACTATAGACTGCTTAAAAAAGACACATCTTAAATATAGGGATATACCAAACCAAACCCATTGCCGTGGAGTTGGTTCCTACTCATGGTGACCCTATAGCACAGAGTAGAACTGCCCCATAGGGTTTCCAAGGAACGGCTGGTGGATTCAAACTGCCAACCTTTTGGTTAGCAGCCAAATGCTTAACCACTGTGCCACCAGTGCTCCAAATATAGGAATATAGAACAGTTGAAAGTAAAAGGATGAAAAAATACGTATCATGATATTACCCAAAGTAAATAAAGCTGGTATAGCTATTCTAGGAGCCCTGGTGGCACAGTGGTTAAGAGCTTGGCTGCTAACCAAAAGGTTGGCAGTTTGAATCCACCAGCCGCTCCTTGGAAACCCTATGGGGCAGTTCTATTCTGTCCTATAGGGTCGCTGTGAGTCGGAATCAACTCCACAGCAATGGGTTTGGTTTGGTTTTATAGCAATTCTAATATTAGACAAAGTAGAGTTCAAGACAAGAAGAATTCATTTGTTTCTCAAAAAGAAAGGCAAGAAAGATTAGAGCAGAAACAATATTTAAAGAGATAATGGAAAAATTCTCTAAAACTGATGAAAGCCATCAAGCCACGAAATCAAGAGCAATCAATCCCAAACAGTGTAAGTACAAAGGAAGCCACACCTAGTACATCACATGATTAACAAATTTGACCAAACTGACATAAGGAACATTCCATCCAACAATTACAGAATACTCTTTTTAAGTGTAGATAGAATATTTACTAAAATCAAACATAAATAGGGCCATAAAGCAAGTCTCAACAAATTTCAAAGGGACTAGTTGTCTATTTTCTGTACAATGAAATGTGAACAGAAACCACGTGCAACATCTGGATCATACCTGTAGAATGAGTGCTCCGCTTGTCTTATTGGCATGATGGCAGGGACTGGATCTTCCATCTTTCAACTTACAGATGGAAGCCATATGTTGAGGATGGCAGAGCCACCCTTTCTGTTCTGTACTGGCATATCTCCAGACTGCTAAGTGACAGAGAAATAATCTTGTTTAAGCCATTGTTAAGTCAGATTATTGTATAGGAGCCATGTGGCCCACACAGCATTGCTACTACTTAAGATTTAGTGTCACTTCATAGGTTACTGGTTAAAAAGAAGAAAAAAATCATACTCATAAACTATATTTTTAAGATAATTCGATTTGGATATAGAACGAATACTAGATATTAAGGAATCCTTGTTATTTTCTTAGGTGGGTCAATTGTGCTGTGGTTGTATCGATCGTTCTTAGGAGACTTGTGCTTAAATCTTTACTTGCATTCTAGTGATTTGGTGATATAAGGATGGATGGATAGACAGATAGTTGATAGATAATACAAATATTGCAAAATATTAATTGTTAAATCTGGATGATAGGTATACAATTTTGGGTATTATTCTTTCAATTGTTCTGTATGTTTGAAAATTTTCATAATAAAAATTTAGAAAAATAAACAGACACTTGTCTTAGTTATCCAGTGCTGCTATAACAGAAATGCCACAAGTGGATGGCTTTAACAAACAGAAATTTATTCTTTCATAGTCTACTAGGCTAGAAATTTTAATTCAAGGTGCCAGCTCCAGGGGAAGTCTTTCTCTTTCTGTCGGTTCTGGAGAAAGGTTCTCGTCATCAATCTTCCCCTGGTCTAGGAGCTTCTCAGCACAGGGACCCTGGGTCCAAAGGACACGTGCACTCCTGGTTCTTCTTTTTTGGTGGCATGAGGTTCCCTTCTTTTCTCTGCTCAATCCTCTCTTTTACTTTTCAAAAGAGATTGACTCAAGATACAACCGAATCTTGTGCATTGAGTCCTGCCTCATTAACATCATAGAGGTAGGATTTATAACACAAAGGAAAATCACTTCAGTTGACAAAATGGTACAATCACACAGTACTGGGAATTATGGCCTAGCCAAGCTGATATACACATTTTTGAGGGACACAATTCAATCCATAACAACACTTCTGATAGAATGTAGTATGCACTTGGAGCTGTTAGAGCACAGAGGCAAGGCACTGAGCACAGCCTGGCATCACTACTCTTTGAAAGCTGTAGACCTTTTACAAAAGCACATGTTTGCATTGTGTAGCCATTATTTTTCCTATCTCTGGAGAGAGTGAACTTCTTCTTGTCCAGGTTAGTTTACAGAATGTGGACAACTCTGTCAGTCTTTTCTATGGCCGAAACTAAAGATAGTATTTTACAGATACTGTCTTAAGCTAATAGTGTGGGTATATCACACTGTTTAATGTACTTTGTACACTGAT